AATGATGTTGATTCTAAGGTGAACAATTACTCAGTTCAATGATTGCACAAGTATTACCATTCATTGGCGAACAGAGCCGTATATTGAACGGCTATGGACCAGCAGAGACTACGATCGCAGCCATTTCTTATGAGGTTAATCGTGAACAACTTTGTCAAATGACTTCAATAGCCATCGGTCGTCCATTGGATGGTTATCGTATTTATCTACTCGATGAATACCGTCAATCTGTGCCGTTTGGACAACAGGGTGAAATTATGATAGGAGGTGAGGAAGTAGTCTCTAAGATGTATTCTGACAATCTTTTCAATGATTCACATAGGTGTTGGTGTTTTTGTTGGCTACCATGAGAGAGCTGATTTGACAGCGAAAAGTCTGATCGATATCAATGGCGAACTGTACTATGCGACGGGTGATTTAGCTCGATTCGATGTTAAATTAGGTGAACTCTTTTTCATTGGTCGACGAGATTATCAAGTAAAACTGCGTGGTCAACGAATTGATCTTGGCCAAGTCGAACAAACAATCATGAAAGGATCATCTTTGGTTTCAGACTGCATCGTTATAAAATACGTTTATGAAGAACAGGATTACCTTGTTGCATACATCGAAGTTCGATCCGATCGTATTCAGGAAGAACATTTACGAAGCTACTGTCTTTCTCAATTACCGTTCCATATGGTTCCTTCAAAATTTGTTATCCTCAGTAGTTTTCCTTTGACAAGGAATGGCAAAATTGACCGCAAAGCATTACCTGCACCGGACTTTAGTATCACTGCAACAGAATCAAGAAATAACAATCAGTCAGTCAGTAACATGGAAGATCGAGTACATGACTTGTGGTGTAAAGTTCTAGATTTGAAACAGATCTCGAGTGATACATCCTTTTTCGCACTGAACGGCACATCGCTTTTGTTCATCAAATTATATTACCATTATCATTTAGAATTCCGTGTTTCTCCAGACATTGTCAAATGTTTTCGTAAAGCATCGATTACTGAACATTCACGACTCTTAGTGGAGGAGATTAATTCGAAGTTTGGCGAAACTATTTCTACATGGTCTCCTTTATTCTTGATTCATGGTAAAATTGTAGGCACAATATTTTAATGATCATCGTCATTCCTCTATTTTTTTTAGCTGAAGCTTCTTTCGCTCAAGCACGCATAATTCTTGATGAACAGATTCGTTTTCATTCATCGGACAACGACGCGGGAATAGCCATTTATTATATCCCATTATTCTATCAGTTGTCAAAAGGCTCTTTATCAATCAAACGTCTTCGACGAGCTCTTCAGCAGATCACCAAAAAGCATACTAGCCTTCGTACATCTCTCGGTTTTGATCCAATTAAGGGAAGTTTAACACAATCTATACATCCACATGATGCCCAAGATTGGTTTACATTTTCCGAGAGTACCGTAAACGATGTCAATACATTAAAGAATATCTTCATGAATGATCTAACCATTAAAACGAATTTCGATCTTGCTAAAGGTCAAGTTTGCCACTTTCATGTCGTGCACCATCAGTTATCGACTCAATCTGATAACGAAGATTTACTTTATGTCGGAGATTGTATTCTATTTACTTTCCATCATGCTGTATTTGACGGCGAATCAGTGGATATATTTATCAACGATCTTCGAGAAGCTTACACTAATGAAGAGAAATTTTCAATCAATAATACCAAAGCAGCACTGCAATATATAGATTGTAAGCTACTGATGGTAACCGAGTTTTAATATTGATTTATTGAAAGGCATCTGTCGAACATCAGTGTAACATCGTGTCAGGAAGTAAAAGTTTCGAAAAAAGAGTAGAAATAACAATTAAACATATAGATATTATCAGACAAATTTTGTACTTCCTGTCAATGCAGCTAAAATTAAAGCATTACTCGCCCCGATGTCCTTGCTCCTCAACTACCAAACATCTAATATAAACAGCTAAAACTTTAATACGTCAAATCTTTTAATTATCTAAAAAATCAGTATTTCAGCAAAGGTCGACTCAGGAACATACATTCAAGAAAGACTTAGGAAATCCGTAAAATTCACAAAGGGCTTACAATGGAAGGGTGTGAACTGTTGAGCGAAAAGATTGACCATATTCGGGTCAAAAGAAAGCTTTCAATGAAAAACTAACAAATTTAAAATATAATGTGCTGATGGCGTTCCTAGACAAAGATCCTTGAATCTCAAGGTCTGTGAAATTTAGGTATAAAAATGAATCAGGAAAGGTTTTCTCCACTATTATAAGGACAAAACATAGCGTTGTTCGGGCCGATTATGGGGTTTGTAGGGATTCTCTTTCATATGGCCCGAACAACACCATGTTTTGTCCTTATAATAGTAGAGTGAATTTTTTCTGTAGCTCATAGAAAACACAGTTTTCTATCAACCACCAAAAAATTCACTCTACTATTATAAGGACAAAACATGGTGTTGTTCGGGCCATATGAAAGAGGGTCCCTACAAGATAGGTTATCATTTGCCACAAATTGTGGTTTCCGGAATTGGTCCCTACATCAGGTCCACATTTGTGGACAATTGAACAATTAACTAAATTCTGGTGACCAAATAGGGACTCAAATTTAGGAACTTTTTGATATAGGGATGTTTTATTACATATATCATGGATAGTAGGTTATCATTTATCCCAAATTGGTGACCACAAATCAATCCCCAAATAAAATTCTTATTTGGAGATTTTTTGACATGAAATATATAATACATTCTGTATTTCAATACCATTCTTTTCTCTTTCAAGTCCATATTACCAAAAGTAATGAATCTGGTGACCAGAATATACTTAGGGGTACCCAAAAGTAGTGTCGGAGGTACATTATTGTCGTATAGAAGACTTGAGAAAATTTTCTGTTTATATGAAATGATAGAGAAAATAAAACTCTATTTTTCTCTACTATTTCATTCCTATTCACCTGGTACCATAATAATAAAATTTCGATAGAAACATTTTTTTGTTGAAAGCTTAACTTTCAGATAAGACAGATTATATGGTTACATGTTGTATTTCAATTTTGAATCACTTAATACGTTGTAATAAAAAACAAAATACACCATAGGATGCAGCATG